ATGAGGTCATTAGACAGAAGACGACAACCTAACACTATAATTTGTTTTGACACATTTTTAACAATTTAGTTAGAAATTCGTATGTATTTTCTTTTCAAAGGAAACAAACGAAATTTCTCAAAAAAAGCTCGTAAACAAAAAAAACATCTATTTAGTAAAAAGCTCCCCAGCAAAAAGTCAATAAATTAGTGTACTGAAAGAAGTTATACATGGTAATCTTATATAATAAAATTAAGTTTTCTCCCTTCTCCTTGTGCCACATCAGCAGGGAGAGGGGCAAAATATTCCACATCAGCATACTTAAAACTACTTTAACGAAACAATTTTTTCGTTCAAAAACCTTATGTGAGCCATTATGGGCTCTATCACCATTTATGCCAAGACTTTTGTTTGGGCTTATACAGCGGTCCTTTTTCACCTTATCCTTTCATCAAATTTTACAAACCCTTAGATCAAATGCTTCCAATTCAACTTCTCCGGCGACGTGTAACGCTCAGTAGTAATGACATTCAATTATGTTAACCCACTAATCCCCCAGACCTCCTCTTCATTGCTTCTTTAATTCCTCCTGCGTTGTATATATACACATACTGAGAGTCCCCTCAAAACCCTCGACTTCCATCCAAAAAAATTTGCTCATGTCTTCGCTTAATCTACGTTTCTGAAGATGACAACTTCTCGGAATAGTCTTAAACTCTACACAAGGTACAATTCCCTAACTCTATCGGAGTTTGGTTATCTACCGGTTACACTAACCAAACATGGATAAGAAGGATAAGAATATGCTTCGTATTGTTTTCATAGTTCCTGTAATCTAGGTTCTTTAGTTTCGTAACCAAGTCTTACTCTAGCTTAGATATTATATTTCGGGAGTCAGAGTTGTATATATGAGAACGTGATCTCTCTCTATCAATACATAGAAATTTCAAGTCTCTGCAATCTCTTTAAAATCTAAACTCGCACATCAACCTAACTTTCGTTCTGAAACTACATATAATGAACAAAAATAAATCAAAGTTTTGCCTTTCTGCCCAGGTGTTTATTCAAATAGCATGCCCCCAGCATTGATATGTGTTGTTGCCCAAGACTGAAGGCCCCGCTGTGGCACACAATTTAGAATCTCCTTCTAAAAATGGTAAGAACAGTTTCACACCTTTTTTTTCTTTTGTAACACAAAACAGTTACACACTATTTATGAATCTTTACTAACTCTGTTCATATTCGATTACAACAATGATTAAATTTACAGCAATAACGCATCTACACCGAGCCAGACGAGTGCAAATTCGGGCCTTTAAGAGAGGCGGCATATCCACGTAAGCTTATATTAACCAACTATATCCGCATATAAGATAGCCATGAAATCTGCAATGCTATAGAATGATGAACATGTGGACATTATAAAAAGCACATGTTTTAAACATATGCAAACACGAGCAACCATTTTACTTTTACATCTTCATTTTTCCTAACTTAATCGAAAAATACACAATGGTTTGCAGGAAACACTCAACCCCTAAAGCAGGGAACTGGGAATTAGTCACATGTCTTAAGTGTAGTACTTGCTATGGATAGCAGAGTCAGTTAGTGATTTTTAAGAACCTGTAGATGCAAGAAAATAAAACACATCGTGAATAGGTTTATAAGGTTGAGATGAAGTAAGGTCGTGAAATGGTTCTCATGACTTTTATAAGTTGCAATATTTGTGTTCAGATTTTCCACCTCTTTCTTATCAATTTGTCATTCTACTTCTCTTCTTTCTCTTTACCTTGATATTAACTAAGTGTTTCTTCTTTTGCAGGTTTTCTTCTTTTCTTAATAGTCTTTCTCTTTCTTTTGCCTTGATATTTGTTACTAGATCTACAAATATCCTTCATCAAAAACTGATCCCACAATGTTTTGCGGAAAAGAACACTGTCACAAAGGTCTTTTCGATGCAACAGACTCGATATAGATAAAATGAATGAAAAAGTTTCCTATCATTAATTTGATTGGGAGAATGTTTTCGTAAACCCCTGTTGAATGAATCGTTTCTCAGTTATGTTGTTGTTGTTGCAAATACTGAAGTTCTTTACTATCAGAGAATGCACCATTGAAGATAGGAAGGAGTTTGGTAGATCTTCAAGACTCTGCTTCTGAGTTATTGATGCAATTGGGAGCCGTAATAAAATCACATTGGATGACTAAATCACATCATTTTTCATTTATTGTGGTATTTTCTCAAATGAGAAACTTGGCAAGTACCTTGGGTTGCCCTGGAAGAGCAACAATAGCTTTCTTCGAAAAGGACAAAGTGATTTATCTTTACTTTATCCAAACTACTTTTGAGTTCTCTGTTTTTGCATATTTTCCACAAGCATGTTGTGTGTTTTCGTACTTTATAAGGTTGATTTAAATTTTTAATACATAAAAGACTATTATGTTTTCTGTGGTATTTTCTTTTGTTGATGGTAAGTAAATTGAAAAAAACGAGAGGGCAATTAACTTAGTTACAGTGATACTGATATCAAAGTTTAGACCCTTTTTATACAAATGTGAGTCCCTTATTAAGACATCTTCATGTTCTTTATCGTTCACACATAAAAAAATTTAACCGGAAAATATAAAACCAAAATAAAGAAGAAAATAAATAACATTTAATACACAATAATCAAATCATAAAAATAAAGGATAACTAAATGTTTATTGAAACTAATTTTCCGCGCGAAGCGCGGACTAACCACTAGTAAGAAACTAAACTCTTCGGGGGCTGTGAATGTTGTTATTGCATTGCAGTACTTGCATATGCAGAGGATTGTGGGTGGGGGCATAAGTAGGGATGTGTAGGTGTATTTTTGATTTAGTCGAGGAAGACTTGTAATTTACGACCATTTGACATGTGTGTGTCTTTTGATGTTGGTAATTTGCAGCCTGCTCATAGCCATTTTTTATGTTGGTAAATGACGACCATTTGACATGTGTGTGTCTTTTGATATTGGTAATTTGCAGCCTGTTCATAGCCATTTTTTTTTTAATTTTACTAACCAATAAAATAGATGATCAAACTATAAGATGATGGTTGGTGCAAGAAAAATTAGATAATTGAGATCCCCACACCAGTTTTAGCAATCAAATTAGATTATGTTTGATTTAGTTGTTGAAATTAAAAGAGAGTAATACACATTTGCAAAATAAACTCTTTTAATGATTCTCATTTTGATACTCTGTTCTATTAGTTTCCAAAATCTATAATATAGAAGCCAACATAAAAAGAAAGTTATAACTTGAACAACTTTTATTTTGTGCTAACACTTCTGTTTTTTGTTTGTTATTTGTATTGAGAAAAGGATAAAAAAATTTCCGCATCAAATAATTAGGAATCAAATAATTAGAAAAAGCACAAGCGTGGAAACATATAGTTGAAAATGTTCAGAGGATCAATAGAATTACTGATAAAGTGTTTAATGGAATGAAAACAAACTGAGGTACAGCACTCGGCGATGTCATCATCCCATACGTACACATACACATCCATATACTGTGCAAAGAAAAATCAAGATTCAAAGTACATAAATTACTATTTATTCTAATCTTGATATTTATGGCCGCTAAGTCGGCGCAGAAAGTCATCACAGTGATATATATATAAAAAGACTACGGTTACCATACTCTTCGTCAAGTATTTCTTATAAGTCTGCCTCCAAGCTGACCATCTTCGCAAGAGAATTTACAATAGCTAATTTCACATATTCATCCCTGATATATTGACTGGTAGTCTCACAAAACTGAGGCTTGACCTTCTCGTTTTCTAATCGGCCGTGAAAACCGCAGCGGTGCGTTTTGGGAAAGCACGAACACTTTTGCTTCTGACTCAAAACAGTGGGGAGGGATTGTGGTAGTTTCCTAGAGATGCTCAATAGAGGTTGAGTGATGACGACAACACATGTGGTTTTGGTTAATAATATACACAGCCCTAGTTGTAGATTGATAACCCAAAACCCACTAAGCCAGTAATCAAAATCTGAGAGTTTAAGTACTGGAATGATTCAGTTTACCTATCTTAAGGCATATGACATGATCAGAGCAGCTCCCTTTCCATCTTCAGGAGGTTGAGTAATATGGTGTGCATCACCTATATGCCAAGAAGACTTCATTCTGATGAAACTCAAATTTTGTTTATCTGTGGAATAGTAAAGTTTGTTTTTACTAATGTATGAGCCTAACCTGACATCCCATATCCACAAAGCTCAGCATAAAAATTTTCTCCACATCTTTTTGCATGCTCAGTTCCTATTTTTTATAACCAGAAAATCAGAAGAGATTATCGCCAAGAAAACAGTTGTGGGGGATGACTTTAGAGTCTCAACTCATGAGACTTCTCCTATCCTGCAACAAAATTTATAATGTTCTGACCTCAACATCTCCAAAACAGATTCTTTCAAATAAACAGCCAAGAATGTAACTCACACAAAACCATCCCTGCCACAATCGAAAGGCCAAAGCTTCCTGCGGTGATGAATTATACTTAGGCCCTGTTCGTTTCTTCATTCAACTGAGCCATTTGGATGAAGCTGAGTTTGTTGTTCGTTTTGACACAAAATGTACAGCTCATTCGAATGGTTCAGTTGAATGATTTTCGAAAATCTAGTTTTAATTTGAAGAATCAGTTGACTGAACCGAATTGAACCATTTGACTGAACCTGGTTCAGTTGAAATCATAAAATGTCGATATTACCCTTAATTCAACTCAAATATTACAAACCTAATTTTTTTTATCTTTTCAGATTCATTTGCCGTCGACATCTCTCCATCGCCTCTCCTTCTCTCCATCTCCATGAACGGAGCTTGAAGCTCTCACTCGTCGCTCTCTCGCTGTTATCATCTCTATCGCCGTCGCTCTCTGTCTCTCATCTCTCTCACCGGTCTCTGTCGCAGTCTCTCTCTCTCTATTGTTTTTGTGTTCGTTTTGTTTGTTAAGCTCTGTTTCATAGTTTTGATTCACTTGTATCTCGTGTATACTGATGGGTAATGTATAGCAACTGTGTATATGTTTGTTTAAATTATTACAGGAGCTGACAGATAGTTGATGTTGGTGTGCTTTAGGTAACACTGTTTACAAAGAAGCATGGTGTTGTGCGAGGTGAGGAAGATGCTGAGACGGTATACGCTTGTATCGACTTGGTATCAACGATAATACAGAGGAAACTTAGGAAGATCAAGGAGAAGGACTCAGACCATGGAAGACACATGAAAGGTTTCAACAGTTTGAAGGTGAGAGAGCCAGTGATTGAGCCATGATGATTTGATCAAAGAGGTTTTGGTCCATACTGAACCTTATCATTGATTTTAACTGATTCTTTGATAATGTTTTCCTCATGGTTTGTTCAACAGATTATGCGTACCAAGTACTTTGAGATGCCAGCATTGACTGTTTCTGAGGCAGTGGAGTAGCTGGAGTTAGTAGCTCATGATTTCTACGGCTTCCTGAATGAAGAAACAGGTATGCATTTATTATATACTTGATTGCGTGAAATGCAAGGAACACTTACATTTTTTGGTATTATTTTGGTTGTTAGGTGAGATAAACATCGTGTACAAGAGAAGAGAAGGAGGGTATGGTCTGATAATCCCTAAGAAAGATGGCAATGCTGAGAAAGTTGAGCCGCTTCCAACAGAGCAATTGAATGAACACTCTTTTGCTGAGTAGACTTTGTGTGTCTTGTCTCAAAACCAAAACTGATCTTACTTCTTTCCTTATGGTTGCTTGCCTGTATAGGAGCTAAGGGTTCTTGAGAAAAAAAAACAATGAAAGGAATTTAATCTGTTATGGTTAAAGGAAGAACCAATGTACATAATAATATAAAGCTAAAACTTTTTTTTAGATGGTTCTTGTTTACTCTGTTTAAAGGTAAAAAAAAAATTGAAGAAGTTATGATCTTGATAGCAAAATACATATTCATAAGCCAAGAATGTTACATAATAATACATATACATTAAGTCATTGGTTCAATGTTCTTATTCAGTTTTAAATTTCAGTTTTATAAGACTTGAGTTTCTACTTTGTGTTTCTACTTTGAATGTTTAGAAGTTTATACAAATTTGAGTTTTCACTTTGAATTTTATTAGAAACTATAAATGTTAATGCAATTTAAATAAAGGAGTGAATGAATATATGGTTTTTTATAAATTTATGTGAAATAAAAAATTATAAATTTATAAGAAATAAAATTTTATAAATGTAAAAATGAGAATTTTAGAATAGTTTTAGTGTAAATATATCTTAGACTAAATAATATTCATTAGTAAAGTTAAAATTAATATTAAACATGTGATTAAATCAAAACAAGGGTACATTTGTAATTTGTTTATCAAACTCATTTGAATGGAAATAAAAAACAAGAAACAAACATAAACTTCATTCAAATGGTTCATTTAAATGATTCATTTTGATGGAGAAACGAAAAACCCTTAAAATGGAACTGAGCCATTTGGATGGATCACATAGATGGATCAGCTGAATGGAGATTACAAATGGACAAACGAATAGGGCCTTAGTAGACAAAGCTCTTTATCTGGACAAAGAAAAGAGAACAATAAATTTATGATTATAACATCTGCATCTCCAAACTGAATCATCCTAGAATGTGTTTGATCAAAGAAGATTTACATACCAACTTATGGCACTTTGCAACAGCCTGGCTAAAATGTTGAAAAGTTTCAGTATGCATTCTGTCCAAACGACTGAGCTCAGTTTCATTTGAGCTTAAGACGTCGACTGAATCCAATAGCTCATTAAGGATTGGCGTATCCATTCCTCCCACATCAAGGATGACAGGAACAAATGCTCTCTTCACAGCCTGCAACACATCCACAAGGACCACCACCGACCTAAGTCAAGTCAACATAATGTTTTATTGAAAGTCTCATCATGATGATTCAAATAATATATGATCAATATACATTCCAGTTCCAGATGTTATATCTTTTACACGACGTCGTTTCTCTATCCAAACCTAAAGATGCATCCTTTGAATAAAATCAAGATTGGAACCGAATAATTAAAAACTTGATATGAACCTTAGCAACTTGAATGTTGATTGAGTCTGGGATCTATCTTTGAAGCAGCACAACACCAGCATTCCTCACGATCTCAAGCTCATCACCACTCATCTTCTCAAACCATCCTCTCATATTAGCACCACCTACGAATAATGATCGAGTTCTATTTGTTCATTTCACTGAGAAATGATAAGAGGATAAGCCTCATATGTTGGTTATAATTTTCTGAGGAAAGAAATTTACCTTCGATGCTTGAAACCTAGAATATAAGTTATTGTAACACCCATTAATAAGCTGAAGGATGAGCTCTATGAAGTCCATCAAATAATGACGCAGAATGCAGGAAGTCCTATGAGTTGGTGAAAAAACTGGACTGTAAGCAGCGCCATCTATTATTCTTTCTAGTGCCATCAAACGGGAGACATAAATCTCTAGCTGAGTACATTATTTGTAATCATGAAAGCTTCAAAGTTGCGTGTATCCCAGCTTTCGTAGTGCTTATTGTTTGCTGCTCCATGGATTCTCAAATAGCAATTTTTTCCCCAAATGTAACCATTAATCTCAAAGTAGCAATTTTCGAGGAAAACTCATTCTCTGTATTAATAAGTAATTGGTGATCGATCACTAACCTGATCTTGATATCCATATTGTCAAACTCGTGAACAGCATATTTCATTATTAGAAACGTTAAACACCATTCTGTTGAAGTGTAAGTGGCATTATCAGAGTGAAAACATAGAAATCACATTAGTAAAAGGGGCAGCTTTGTTCATTGCGATCTACAAAGTCTAGTTTACATGGAAGTTACATTGCGAGGAACTATTCATCAATACAAAAAAATTACAATGCAAAACTTACAGTTTCAGGTTCTTTGGCCACAATTTGTAGTCAACCCCAACTGTAGAAGAGAACTTCCTTGATGTCTACACAGCTATACTTGCGGTGTAAATTAACAACAAAGCTACACTGAGGAGAACATATTTTAGAAAATATAAAACAGTAGCAAGTAATATCCAATGAGAACCAGTACCTTGGGAATTGGGATTTACCACAGCTGGTATCCCTAACTATGCAGACACTGAATGGTCACACCACCTAAAAGTAGAACTGCACACTTGATGTCTTGATCACCAAAAATGGTTGGTGCCAAGCTCCCAACCAACTTAGTAATCCTCATTTGCTGAATTTCAGATAGCTCTCCTCCCCACCATTTCTTACAACGAACAAATTTATTTACTTGTATATAGGAGGAAGTATTTAAGAGGTCACATAAAGAGAACAAAATGATCACATAAAGAGAACAAATGGGAGCACTGAAGAACAAAACTAGCTATCTCGTTTCATATACGTAATATAATCTAAGTCTTGTCCACCGAGTCCACTCGCTGATCGTATTCACCCACATGTTCTTTTCCTCTTCGGAGTTGATGATCATGTGCCATTCAGCAACCGCTTGGTCTTTTTGTTTCGCCCTTTTCTCCAACGTTTCAGTAAGTGTTATCTTCTCTTTCCCCTTTACAATCCCGCCATTAGCTCTGTCAATCTCGATGATTTTCTCATGCAATAATGCATGGAGTTTGTCTTCGTTGCATCGAGCTGATCCCCTTTCTGTTTTCATCGAGCTCACAAGCTCTTTAGCTGTTGCAGCCTCGTCTTCTTCTGAAACGCAAAACAAAACATATATGTGTCGATTGATTTAGAGTTTAGATGGATCTGTAGTGTGTCGATTCATTAGCAGTTGGAGAAGTGGAAACGACAGAAGATTTGTTGCTCTTAGGTGATCCAGGAAATATTGCTGCCATAGAATCAGAAGATGCAACAAAATCTGAAGACTAAACGCAGAAGACGATGTGAATCATCGACGTTTTACGGATTAGGGCTTGCATGAGTATATTTAGATGGACCAAAAAACAATGCACTCATATTATGTTTTGGTCACTGGGCTATAACTCGAGCCCATACACAATATTCAGATTCTTTGAAGAAGGGGATGACATGGCATTTTAAAATATTCTGATTGGCTAATTTTTTTAAAAGATGTGGCAGCTCTCTCCTTTCACCTTATTTCTCTTTTATTTATAGTAGATATTTACTGGTTGATAAGTGTATAATTTATTCTTCTTCAGTTATCAACTATCACTCATTCTTTCTATCCACAATTATTTTATGTAAAAAACCAATTTCAAATATGTAATCTTCGTTTTGATATTTTATCAGTGTAGCTATTATCATTATTTTAAAATTATTAATCAAATCTGTAATCTTGACTTTAATATTTTTCATCACATCCATCAAAACAACCACCATTTTTTTTATATCAATCATCACCTCTTCAGTCGTAACTACCATCACTCAAATGTACTGTAAGTTTCCGGTTGTATGCTATTTAACAATCATAGACATGTAACAGTTTAAATAATATGTTTTATATGCTATTTTGTTTGTTACTATTCTATTTTGATAATACTTGATATTATGTACTATGTGCATATTTTAATATATGGATAAGCGTTTATAGTTTCTTTTAGGATTTACTGATTAGTGTTTTGGGTTTAATTTATGGAAGGTTTAGGTTGACGTTGTGACTGCTAACTCTAAAAATTCATAGTGTAGAAAAAATATTCAACTAAGTTTTTGTGTTTTTTGTAACAAACCTTCAACTAAGTTAGAATTAACTTTTGGGTTGACATAGCATATTCTGCAATTAATATTATATTGTACTAGGGTTGGTCTGAGATACTCGCAGGATTTGATGGTCGTATGTATACAACTATACTATTTTTTACTGCATTTGTTTTATGTTAAGATTTGAAAGAAAGATGTATAATAATAATAAAAAAGGATGTATAATAATTTTTATGTTTTAAGTATGTTAGGGCGTGGTTGGTTTATAGGTGTTTAGATTATTTAATTTAGATTTTGGTGGTTGTGTTTTATTAAGAGTTCGGTGCATGTAAAATACTATATATAGTTTGGGTGAGGTTGACTTGATTTTTTGGTTGAATGTTATTGGCTATCAGAATACATATTGATTGGTTAAATGAGGTTTTCTATATTTTGGGATTTGAAGAATGTGGTTTATGGGTCTTATGAGTATGATTTGTTAAAACAAAAAAATCACGGATTTCGTTTATTTGTTTACAAATACAATATTTTTTCAATGTTTAAGGTTTTGATTTGAAAAGAGTTTTGATTGCAATTTATCCTAATTTAGATTTTTTTAAAGCGCTTAGTTTTGTTCGGTCTCCAACAATTTGAGTCACTGTGCATTATGAACTAGCGATTATCAATAGTTTGTGTATTTTTTGTATTGTTTGAACTGCAGATTGTTAGTTTAAGCTGTATTTATTCTGAATTTTGCAAATGCTTTCTTGTGTGTTGTATGTAGAAAGAATTTCTTTGAATTTCTCATTTTGAAACTGGAATTGTATCGCAGTGATCATGCTAAAGAAATTCAGAGCGTGATAAACAAGAGAGAACCTGAATGTACCGAATTTGGAGGTAACTTGGTTTCAAATTTAGAGAGACTGTTTTCTTCTTTTTTTGTACCTACTTTGATCATCTTGTGGTCAATGTGCTACTGGTTATATAAGTGCAGATCCAAGAGAGTTGTGTGGTGCCATGAATCATATATCTCCATACAAACGATTGCAACACCATGAATTATTTTGCAATAAATCACTTATCGCATCTCTGTCAGATTCTTGTTATCTGTATAATATGGTTGGAGACACAGATTAGAAACAGAGAGGTAATTCAATTAGATCAGCTTATTCAGACGTTCTGATATGAATGATCTTATGGAGGTTTTCCAAATCAATGGTATGACTCCTGTGGAATTGCCTCTAATAAGAATATGCTCTCTGTCTCCAGCTGGTTTTGAGTTTTAATTTGAAGATACACCATATTTTTCAATATATGACATTGCATTGATATTGAAAAAAGAGTTTCATTGTGAATGTCATGTACATCTACTTATTTGGTTAATTGAGAATCATTGCCTGATATGTTGAATCACATCTGAATTTCCTATGAAGATGATTGACTTAGCTGAGCAAAACAATGAATATGAAACGTTAAATAAGTGATTATTATATTAGTTAATCAAGAGTTCAACAGAGTGGGTAGAGCTATCAAAGTTACTTGGAGTTGAAGGAACTTTTTCCATGAGTAAGGTTATAATGTGTTTCAATTTGTTATCTTATTTCCATTGAACTTTGTATCCACCGTTCAAGTATTCTGAGATGATTATTGGTAGGTTATAAGTTATTAATGATCGAGTTATTTATGTTCTTTATAATATTACTCTTTCAGAAAATTTATTAAGCTTATTTGGTTATAGAACTTAGTTAACCAACTGAATTTGCATTTCTTATAAAAAATACTGGAAACATTAAAACTAATGAGAAAAACAAAGCTCAGATAATTAAAATTGAAATTCTGAAAGAGAAAAGTGAGTAAACGCAAAAAAAAGGTGGAGATGAGTGCTATGGACATAGTTATAAATATATAAATATTATTTTAAAATAAATATATATTATTATACTAATTTTTATGATAGTTTCATGACTATTTTACCCCTCTGAGCTATCCTCCCATACAATGCATATACCCTTTGTTGTGTGACAGAAGATAACGTTTAACAAATTGGACAATACAATGTTTTGACGCATCCAAAAAACGGAAGATTAATTAATATTCATTTCACTCCCATCTATCTTCGAGTACATAAGAAATTGACAAATATGGATTTGAAGAAAAACTTGTGATGATGAAGAACGATAAAACCTTGTTGTAAAAGTGAAGACCACTCTCCCACCGCCTTTGATTTTGAGTCTTTCTTGCACTATTTTTTTTTTCTTACTTTTTTCCTGTATCTGACAATGTGAAATGATTTTTACTTAGTTGGATTCGAACTAGTTTTTATTGTTCTATTGAATTTATACTTTTTGTTTGATTGTTCTCCTTAAAGTGATGTTTTTCACAGTGTAAATGAAATTTACGTTGGATCTAGAGCTTAAATTGTTGATGATGTTTCTTACCAAAATTGGTAAGCTGTTTAAGAGTGAAGCCAAAGATG